ACTGTGACGATTCATGTTACCAACTTTCATGATAAGCTATCAAGATACCAATGTGTGACATTATGTGTGCGTGTAAATGTTTCATCCCTTCTGGAAGCACTTCATCTTTTCCTTGATGAGTGGAGAATCAAATTATATAAGAATCTACTTCATATTATTTCGGAAATTGTGTAGAAGTAATTACAAAATTTTTTAAATGGCCAGGAGATGATGCAATTTGTTGTACCTACCAATCGTACAATAATTGAAGGAAACAAATTCTGAGCTGGTAGGTCGTGATAGAATGGAACCAGAAGTACTCAAAGTTTTGTCTACTACTGCGACAGACATCATGAAGGGAGTCCAATTCCTGGGTTAATTTCCTCCTGAGAGATAAGCCTTTGAAACAATTCATTTCCAGTATAAGAATGCTCAAAAACCCAAGAATGTGTAAGATACATAATTTGAGGTCAAAAAATTACGTAGGCAAATGGATAGCAAACTTGGCTACTCTTTCAGAACGATTCAGGGAACTAATGCGCTTAGAATTCAATAAGCAATATAAGCATGTAAGTGGAATCAAGAATCAAGACAATGCTTTAAAACATTTGAAAGAAGCATTGCAAGAAATTCATTCTCTGAGATACGATAATCGCGAAGACATAACCCAAGTTGTTGCAAATGTTCGTTGCTCATTAAAAGTAATAAAAAATAATCCTAGCGTTATTGCTTATGGCAATAAAAGTATTTCAGTGTGGGAAATGAGGTATTACCAAACGGAAAGGAGAACCAATGAGCAGAACATTTCAAATTATATTTATATGGCAATGAATTCGAAGTTATCACCGACCACAAACCATTGGAGGTAACCTTTGGTTCCAAATCAAGTGCAAGAATAGAGCGTCGGGTTCTACACTTTCGATCATTTGAATACAAAACCGACCACCTTCGTGGTTGTGTACAGTTTTTCGACAACGACGATGTACATAAAATATTGAAAACATCACCCATAAAAATACGAGAGCTATCTATAGAACCTTGGGTAGATATTGCAATATATTTCTTGAAACCTCTACCAAGAGAATTTTTCATTCGTCATCGTTGAATATTTCAGACGAGTCAGTCGACATAAGACAGTCGTGGGTACCACATCAGTGATGAAGTGTGTATAAGGAACAAGGAAGCTTACAGTAGCTGCTTTAGTAGTCGCATTAGTTTCGGATTATTTCAATTATTAGATACCATATATGAATTTATTTAACGAATTACGCATCACAGAACCCACAGAATTTTATTTTTCGAAAGGCTGGACAAACTAAANAAAAATGTGGGAATCTTCCAGAGAAAGGAAGGAAGCAATCAATATAGAGTTATATTTTTGAAATTTATTGCTTCCTTCCTTGCTTTGGAAGATTCCCACATTTTTTTGTATCAAGATGGAAAGGTAAAGGCCAAAAACTTTCTTTCTCTAAAATAAAATCATTTTGATTTTTTTGTCAACAAAATTGCCTCCTGAATGTTTATCATATTATCATCCTTTACCTAGATTCTGAATATGTGGCACTTTTTAGAGCATTTTTTGAAAATAACGAATTTACTCCCTCTGTTTTTATATGAGTTTATGAGAAAAATGATATTTTGAAAAAACAAAAAATTTACATAACTCTTTTCGAGTTTCAGTTTAGGAAATGCTATATTATTGTCATCCAAAACATCTTGGTTCAACATTGTTCCATGTAAGTGGAATTTTACCTCTTTCATATACTATATTGTGTAGCAATTCTGTAAATGATATCTAATTCAATTCCATAACGAATATTTCGAGCACGAACTGAAAAGGATGTTTCCAGCAAATTTTTTACTCCATATATTTTCCGAATTTAAATGGATAACATTATTACACGTTTGGCATTACTGGCATTTGGTCTGAAATGACTTATTCGCATGTGCCATGCCTAGTCTTGCGCAGTACATTTTGGGTACTATTTTCTTGTAAATTTCGGTACTTTTTGAATTGACGTTGCGGCAGCACAGCTCCTTGAGCAGAGGTCGCGAGCGATATCGAATAATTTTCATTCGTAAATATTCAGATTTCGTTCTTTTCAGAAATATACACCCAACTATCGACCCATCTGGGCTTCGCACGTGTGTAATTTAGAATTATAATTCAATCTTGAAACATAGATAAAGCCATCGGCTTACAGATTCAACGAATTTTGGTATTTTTAGTTGACAGTCTTGAGTGTAGCAGTTATTACGATTTCTTCATATGCAATAGCTTTTGCCCGAGTGGGAACTGCAGAATATAACTAATTCATCCAGGTAGGTACCGATCCCGTGGGGATATCTGGATGAGCTAGCTTATGTTTCTTCTTGATAATATACTTTCCTAATAGTAGTAGAAAATATTAATATCGGCTTAGTGGTTTCATTGTTCATTAATTATAGCTGACTCGCGTGGCTTTGTATGAAAAATTAGATAAAAAGATATAGTACTTCTGGATAAACAGATCATAACAATTCCTTGCACAAAATATTGCTACAGAAAATTCTCACCAATATAAAGTATATACCACTAAATTTTATTGGCTTGGAGTTTTTCTATAAATAATATTTGGCGATGTTTTTGGATTCATTAGCCGTGATCTGCAGGTTTTTATACATGATATTTCGTCTGTTTCTGATGCGGCAGATATTATCATAGACGATGTAGCAATGGTCGAAATGATATACTTTGCTGTGATGTTTATACTAAATATGGTCCTGGTGTGTTTTTACTTATAATGAGACTGGGTTTCGAACGACACCTATAAGTACAAACAAACCAGGACCATTTTCAGTTTGGGATGCACACTCCACCGAGCTTCAGGCCCCGATACTGGTCTGAAATTTCATCTCAGAGCTGAACAGGAAGAAGACTGCAAATCTAGTACTCCCCGACATTTCAAAGACCTTCGATCGTGTCTGGCAAGACTTGCCTCGAGGCCTACTTCGGTGGATAAAGTATTTTCTGACAAGCAGAACATTTCAAGTCAGAGTTGAAGGGGCCCTGTCCAAGCCGGTGTGCCTCAGGGAGCTGTGCTCTCTGTACTATCAAACAGCCTATATGTGAGCGACCTTTCCAGGTTTGAACACGTATGCCTCTTCCATGGATATTCAAAGACCTTCGATCGTGTCTGGCAAGACTTGCCTCGAGGCCTACTTCGGTGGATAAAGTATTTTCTGACAAGCAGAACATTTCAAGTCAGAGTTGAAGGGGCCCTGTCCAAGCCGGTGTGCCTCAGGGAGCTGTGCTCTCTGTACTATCAAACAGCCTATATGTGAGCGACCTTTCCAGGTTTGAACATGTATGCCTCTTCCATGGATATAGGTCGTGAGTTAGGGGTTGTTTACATGCAACGTGCATTAGACGACCTCGAATGCTGGTACCTAGACTGGAAGATCTTAGTGAACCAAGACAAAACTCAGGCGATAGATTTGGGTAGATGTAACGTTTCTGCGAACACGAAGGTAACAACCTCAGACAGGCAGTCTCAAGTTAAGTACTTGGGTCATCTGGGCTCACCACGTTGAGACCATAAAGAGCTATACTATACACTACACTATACAAAACAAGGAATCTTTCCGATTTGAAAAGCTTGCTAATGAATGCTCCATAGTTCGTGCGCAGAGATTTGAAGCTGTTGTCCATACATCAATACACCCAATTGAGGAATTAGGGAGTTTTCGAGTCAGCGGAAACTCATGATAACCCATTAGTTAGGAAAGCTGTAGATTATGCTATAGACGATACTTCCCGATTCAGAAGGTCCCGTTACTCAGCTGGGTGAAGGCCCCACGACGTCCCTATGCATCACAGTCAGGAAGGGGTTGAAAGGGTAAGGGAGCCAGGTTTGGAGGCTGGCTCCCTGTTGCGATAGCAGATGAAAAGGCAGGTATAAAAACTTCATACCACGGCTAGTAAACCCGTGAACATCGGACAATTTGTTAGCCACCGGCCGTGAAAGCCTACACACCATGATTCCCTTTGAAATTCGATTCGATTCAAATTTCATAATTTTAATAAATACGATACTTGATGTTATATTTCACCCACAAAATACCCATATTGCTCTATTATCAGAAAAAATAAATGCATTTCGTCTTTCTTGTTGCAAAGTTTTTCATTTCATTGTGAAACAGATTCGGATTTTCAATGTATGGACGTTATTATGTCAGTAATCGAATAAACTCAGTTTTCTTCATCCTTATCATACTCGTATTTCTCTCAGATTTGTGTCCCGTTTGATAATTATTTTCACCAAGAAATTAGTTGCAGATGAGTTCGAAAAATTTTGATGTAGTTTATATCTAACAGTGACTGTTGGATGTGAACTGCCAAATTGTAGTTTTCAAGCGAATGATAATTTTTCGCAACGTTTGTTGAAATGATTTCATGAATCTCATATTTTCAATTTACAACATCAGATGCTTAAAAATAATTAAACCAAAGTGACTACAACCAAATTCACAATAAAGTACCTCAACATTTATTGATTTATCTCAATAATATCATAGAGAATCCGAATTTATCATTCAGCATACCGTCCTGTCCATTCTATAGAAACTATAGTCCTACACATTCATTCACAGAATTTGATAAATAGAGGATTTATATTAGCACAACACTCCCGAATAGTTTTTTATAAATGTTCCTTGTTTGCAAATGGCCTGTACTTATGGACTTTTCGTTTAAGATCACCCCATTTGAGNTCATTGAAAAAACGGTCATATCAGCTGACTTTATGTGAGACAATATATTTTCATTGATTATGATATTTCTCAACGGTACTCATGTCTAACTAGACTTTCGAGGAAAAAATAATATTTTCGTCAAAATTTGTTTTTTTATCGTTTCCCCCATTCCCGATACCGATTGTTGCTAGATGTTGGATTCAATATTTGAATAGATAAATTCAGTGGTTTTCCTAACATAAATGGACCAAAGGGATCTCAGCCTATATATCAAAACCAATTAATCTTCAAATATCAATGATTCGCACCATTCTCACACACCACCCTAGAATAATGGGGCCCTTCGTAATTTCTCGTGAAATGCTTTGACTTTTCATGAAAGCCTTATAAGCCATTACTGTTGCTATCCCTCTCGCATTCGTTCCGTGATCTACGTTATATTTCACAAGGTCTGTGATTTTTTGGGTGAGTTTAAAATTTTTCTTGCAAATCTCTTCGGTGATGAGACTTTCCACAAATTCAGGAAAAAATGCCATGAATTCCTTGTTTTCATCTTCTGAAAATGGACTTTCTAATGATACCGATGGTTTCCTGTAAGAAAACAATTTTACTGGATGTATTCAATTTGTGACTAGATAAATTAATAATCATTGTTATGTTATTTCCAAATTATTATCAGTCAATTTTTTCTATAACTTTGAACACAGGAAGTATTGAGTATCATGAATATTATTATGGCTCCATACCTAATATCTTCATAGAAACTGCTTTGGAGACATTTTCAAGAATCACTTGGGACAGAAAATTACGGACGCGGTTCAACCCGGACAATAGTATATCAAATTACCGACCGCAGAAACCTATCCGAACATATATGACAAGTTGACTTGGGTGTCACACCAGTAGGTGGTTCCACTTATGTCTCGCTTGCGTTTACACAGTTATTTTCATTAGGTACTTTTCTTGGTTGTTCACAAGGTC